GAGTGAGTGAGAGAGGAAAGACAGACAGAGAGAGAGTCTTTGTGTGTGAGTGTGTGTGTGTGTGTGAGAGAGAGAGAGAGAGGGCAAATGACAAGAAAATCTCTATATAATATTCTCTTACTAATGGAATTTCAGCTTAAAGAAAACAATGAATCATGTTTCAAGAGAAGCTGAAAGAAAACTTGATCATTAATAACATCTCTTTATCGGGCTGATGCTCCTAAGTTAACTCATTATTTTGAACAGTTTTCTGTGTCTCTAAAACACTGTGTCTTCAGTTGATATATGATAAACAGTAATTGTCAGTGCAGCGTTACCATATAGAAATAAAGCCCTGTTAGCTCGGAGCTAACATTGAAAGTATAAGTGGAAATGAGAAGGGTCACACTGACGAGCAGCGGACCAACAGAAACATACAGGTCATTAGGAGTTGATCCCCATTCATACAAAAGTGTCCTTTCGCAAGATACTGAACACGTAATTGCCAATGACGGCTGTGCTGGCGACGTGTGAGTGATAGGGACGTGCTGCACTTAGATGTATTGTATGAATGTGTGTGTAAATGGGTGAATGGTGAAACTGCTCTGAGCTTTGAGTGGTCATCAAGACTAGTGCTTTATAAATATAGACCATGTACCATTTATGTTGAGGAGGAGGCGGCAGCATGAAGCACAGACCAGCAGCCCTTATGATTATTATTATTATTATTGAAAGTTTGACAGATCTTAAAAATGATAATAATGAAGTGTTCCAAGTCTCTCTCTCCCTCTCCACCCCCCTCTCTTCTCTCCCCTCTGTTTTGTCTCTCCACATTTTTGGAACTGCTGGATTTCACTTTAATATTGTATGGTCTCCAACGTATTATGTAAAACGCCTTGAGGTCATGTGTGATGTGATGTGGTGCTACTATCTGAAAAACTGAATTGAACTCAACCAGATGATGAAGCTTGATTCACACTGCAGCAGAACAGGTAGTGTGGATGATGTGATTTGCTTTGATGCCCTCAATCATTCAGCCTTAATGCCTTAATCTCTTGCTAATCATTTTACCGATTACTACATAACGTACACAGCCTTTTACAAAAACATTACAACTCCTCTACTTGTATAAACCTATATACCACGTTGTTATACTATATATATTTCAACATTTTCAGCCCTATTTGTTTTGTTCTGTTATCTTCTGTGATAAACAAAGTTTTAATAAAAGCTTAATGATGTATAAATGATATATGCAGTCAGATTTTCTTCGCACTACAGTTCTCTTTTCAAACTACTCAAAAATTCCAAGCCACATCTTTTCTTGCCCACATTTGGTTTTCCATCGGAGTGAAGGAATCAAGGTTAGGAAAGGAGAGAATTTTGACTTTTCAGCTGCAGCCTTGAAGAGGTCCATTAAGATGCAAACAAAATTAAACACAAAAACATCTGATCCTAAACAGCTCGAGTAGAAAAGACATTTGATTGAATTTGAGTCTGTCACAACTTTCAAACATATGAAGATTAACCTACCAAGTTTTACCGACACAATCAATTAAAGCAAAGCACATATTTTTCTGAGGTAAAAGTGATGTTTCCATTAGGTTTGTTTTATTTACACCAGCTGCTGGTGACATCATTTTACATGTTTTGTTGTGTATAGATATTGTGACTACTATGATTAATGTATTGGATATCTGCTTTGGATCAACTTGTGATGTAAACATTGTTTTTTTCAATAAGGCAATAGTTTAGAGTGCTGCTTGTACAATTTACAGTATAAGTCTCCTGAGAATCTCTGACAATATCGCTTTTGAGTCAAATCAAATTGAATTGGAAGCTTGTGAATCAAAATTGAATTGATCCAGCAGATCAGTGATACCCAGCACTAACTACTGGCTGTAATTCCAGGAGCATGGTGCTTTGCAGTTTTCAATGAATGGAATCTCAGTTACATTTAGGTGTTGAGAAAGTACAAATTCACATGTCAACACTTTCAACTGCAACGTTTTCAGCTTTTTTTTGCTTCAAATTCAGTTGGATGGTTCACTGACTTGTAATAGGGAAAATGGCCCCAATATTATTCCCACTCCTTACCCTGCACATCTGTTCTTGCTCTGTGCAACTTTGGTGAGTGGGTACGAGCTCCTGTGAGAAATAACTGACTGATAGTGGCAGCTTTGATTGATTGACAGAAGCAGGCTCATCAAGTTGAAGTGAGATCAGTTAAAAAGAATAAGTTGTCATTAAATGACAGAAAACTTGAAAAAAAAAGTTTGGTGCAGTCAGAGCGATCACAGCAGCAGATCCTCTGAGTCTGATGAGAGAATCTCCTGCTGCTTTGTGCATGCGTGAAGGGAAACCTCTGGAGAAAGTCCAGACCCCAGAGTACATGTCTGAAAACATGACTCACAGATAGATGTCAGCCGCACTCTCACGCTTTACCAATTCGTTTTTACAGATTTCTTCTTTAAACCTTCGCTCTCATGCAGACCTTGACTGAACAACACCAATCATTCGTCTACAGTCATTAAATCTCCTAATGCTGACAACAATAATGGCAACATGTGATGTGCACAGAAGCAGACACCTTGTCCTGGACAGAGAGAGCTATACTAGAACATTTGATTATGTCTCACATGCCCTTTTCTAATTCTGTACACTTGTTTTGTAAGTAGCATTTTTCAAGACTTGAGAGCCAGAGGTTTCCCTTCCAGTGCTCATGGTCTGGACTGAGAGCACTGCATTGGATCTCAGCTGAACTCATTTCCATTCCCATTAGTTATACATTTCAATCCAGTATGTAGCAATCTGTCCTTTAAAAATCTGTCATTATCTCTTTATGCCTGATTCAGAGTTTCTTATCAGGAACTAGTGAATTAATCATTATTCAGTTCTTGAATTTAATCCCGACACACTGATTTGTGAACCTTTTGTAAGATATTTTGCTGTGCACCCATCTGTGCCCATAGAGACCTTCAAAAAGCAGCTTAGTTTTGGTAAATACAATTTTAACATCAAAAGACTCGTGACACCCACCAGGCTCTGTCCTATTTACAGGAAATATGTGCAAAAAATCAATGTGAGGGTTTCATCTCAAAAACTTTCAAAAACTAAACTTATAAAGCATTTTCAGTGACAGCATTCCTTTTTTTTAAATCTCCTCTGAAAAGCATCAATCTCAGAGAGGTTGACTCATCTTCTCCAGTTGTAATCTGCATCACAATGATGTTTGGTTAGATAGACTGGGAATTCAAGAGGAGGTCCTCGGCTGTGAACGTTTTCATCGTTAATATCATTTTATCTCTATTTTGCACTATAAAGCATTGATTTACTTGAGATGCTTATTGGATCATGTCAGTTTTTTTTTGCATTGAAGATTACTGGAGGGAAGATTTAACATTTTGCTGACATTTTACTTCAAAGAAACCCCATTACCCTTGTAATGTTCACTCCTCTCTCCGCCTGAGCGCAGAAGATGCAGGTGTAGCAACAGACCTGCATGTTCATTCACACTGTGATTCCTCCCGAGTATTAGAAACTGCAAATATCAGTGTGGAATCTTACAGAGAAGAAAATGTTCCCTCTTCTGTCACACGAGCTGTCGGACAGACAGATCAGTGGATCTAAGTCAGTCTCTGCTCAAACCTTAAAATGGCTGTTGTTGCTATGAAGATAATTCAAGAAGAAAAATATATGGAACAACCGTAAGTAAGAAAATCAAGTGATTGTAAAGGGGTTATAAATATGTTGGCTTTTATTTTAAGGAGTAAGTGGAAAATAACAAGGACCAAGTACACAGGCTGTTGTAAAATTGTGTGTGGTGAAGTGTTGGTGACAGACTACAAATTTGACTGTTCAATACAAAACAGGCCTGCTACTTCAATTTTGCACCTTTTTTACCACTTGCAGGTGATATGAGTACCTACACTTATTTTAATCATTTTTATTTTTCTTACTTCGAGACTGTAACGTCAGGAGAGGGCTCGTCTCAGCTTTACATGTTTTATTACCTTAAGCTGCTGTAGACCTGGTGAATGTATTCTGATCTGTTACAATATGGATCCACTGTTAAACAAAAGGATGTTGACAGTGATGTAATTGGGTCGTATAATCAGTGGTGCTGCCCCCGTTGGATAACTTGAGACCTCAGTTTTTTGAGTTAGTAATCCAGCTGAGGATTTGTCAGAAATATTGAATGGTAACATGGCTGTTCACTCCCCTTTGTTTAATGTAGTGTTCTGTGATGTTTTAATCTTTCTTAGTTTAACATTCCTCATAAGAGAACCACCATATAAGAAATGTTGGGCAATAAAAAAAAGACTATGATTCAGCAATCACATTTGCTGTGCAAGGTGGCCACTGAAGAGTTTAACCATCTTATATGAGAAGATTCTCAGTTATTCAGGTCGTGGTATCGTCAAAAGTTGTACAGGTGAACACAGGCAACCGAACTTGCTTTGATTTTGAAGATGTTTCACCTTTCATCCAAAAGGCTTCTTAAGTTCTTAATGGGAGGTTTTGATATTTCACTTTTAAGGGTCTGTACCTATGCTGAGAGTTTAACAGGCAGGTTGATGAAACCCCCACCAGCTAGTGGTATCTGGTCCTCTGAGTCAAGGTGTGAATGGCTGTTGATACCTGTAAGTCTTAAGCTGCCTGA